GGCACCCTTTTAAATTATGTATAGCCTCGAGGCACCCTGTTCTATAATGTAAAAAATTATTCTAATAGTTTGATATAATGCATCAACATTCACACACGTAGGACACCCAACGTCAGAGGGTGATTTATTCATCTGAATTAAATGCACTTTTGCACACTGGTACTGACTAATATTGCAGTGTTTCTGTTCTCTCTCAGTTTTTCTCCATCACTCAGCTAATGTGACCCCAGCACTGATGGAGAGGGGCAAACAAGGTTGCTGTGCAGAAGACCGACTTCCTCCTTATCAACTGATGATGTCATTGGTTGTTGGAATCATTGGTCGTAATGGTGCATAATGAAAACCTGTGTCTTTGTGCAACTGAAAGGCAGGTTTGATCCACCTGCTGGATCGAATACAATTTTGGGGAAATTTTTAGGTATTTTGCAAAGGCACCCCGGAAGAAACCTCAAGGCACCCCAGGGTAGCCTGGGCACGCTGGTTGAAAAAGGCTGTACCACTAAATGGTTGCAATGTGCAAACAAAGTCCATAACCATAAAAACTATTGTACTGCTACTCCCAAAGGAGCCATTTGGTAATTTGTGTTCTCTGTTCTGTGCCGTGACTCCAGGAACACCTTCAGCTCCTTTGACACACCTGGTTGAATGAACTGCAAGCACTTATAAGAACATGAGCACAGACACCAGAAAATAAGCACAACACCATTTAGTTATAAATTAATTTATTGTATTGGTACAAGTTAGAATAAATAGTGGTTTGAGCATAAATGAACATACAGAAGGTAGGTGTTGTAAATAAAGGACAATGATGACTAATAATTCTTAATATTGTAATTATTAGTAATGTTGTGCAAACAGGAGTGTATATAATGCAATTTCCTCCAGTCCAAATGAAACTCCCCAGCAACTTCGTTCTCCAGAGAGATTATTATTATTATTATACAGGATTTATATAGCGCCAACGGTTTGCTCAGCACTTTACATTATAGTGGGAGACAATACAGTAACAATACAGTTCAATACAAGAGGGATTTGAGGGCCCTGCTCCTTGGAGCTTACAATCTAGGAGGGAGGGGTGAGTGGTACAGTAGATAGTCACTGTGGGGGATGGAGTGGTTGGAAGAGTAGAGGATTCCAGAATTAGCAGAGGGCGGTATAGGCTTCCCTGAAGTGAAAGGTTTTCAGGGATCGCCGAAAAGCAAGTAGAGTAGGTGATAATCTAATAGATTGGGGTACTGAGTTCCAGAGGATGGGTGACTCCCTGGAAAAGTCTTGGAGACAAGCATGGGAGGAGGAGATAAGGGAGGTAGAGAGTAAGAGGTCCTGCGAGGAGCAGAGTGTACGGTTTTGGTGATATTTAGAGATAAGATCGATTATGTAAATTGGGGCAGTGTTGTGGATGGCTTTATATGTCATTGTTAGAGTTTTTAATTTTATCCATTGGGCAACTGGAAGCCAGTGGAGGGAATGGCAGAGAGGGGAGGTGGATACGGATTGGTTAGTGAGGTGGATGAGTCTGGCAGCAGCGTTCATGATAGACTGGAGGGGGGATAGCCTACGATGAGGTAGGCCAATGAGGAGGGAGTTACAGTAGTCGAGGCGTGAATAAGCTGCTTAGTGGTTTCCGGGTTAGGAACGGTCATATCTTGGAGATGTTGCTGAGGTGAAGTCTACATGATTTTGTCAGCGATTGGATCTGGGGCTGGAAGGACAGATAGGAGTCTAGGATTACACCTAGTACCCTGGCATGAGGGGATGGACTGAGGATGGTGTTAGTGATATTTATGGTGAAGTCACTGGGGGGTGGCGCAGGCAGGGGGGAATACTAGGAGCTCAGTTTTGGAGAGGTTGATTTTGAGATAGTGGAGTGACATCCAAGCCGATATGTCGCTTAGTAGGCTAGCGATGCGGGTGGAAACTGAAGGGGTGAGGTGAGGGGAAGACAGATAGATTTGCATGTCATCAGCATAGAGATTGTAGTTGAAGCCGTGGGAGTTTATCAAGTGACCAAGGGAGGAGGTGTAGATGGAGAAGAAAAGGGGCCCAAGGACAGAACCGTGGGGGACCCCTACAGAGAGAGGGAGTGAGGAGGAGGTGGCAGCGTTCTAGGTAACACTGAAGGAGGGATGCGATAGATAGGAGGAGAACCAGAAGAGAGCGGAGTCGCTGAGGCCAAAAGAGTGTAGTTTTTTGAGGAGGAGGGGATAGTCAACCGTGTCAAAAGCCGCAGAGAGGTCGAGTAGTAGGAGTATTGAATAGTGGCCATTGGTCTTTGCAGTTAGTAGGTCATTAGAGAACTTAGATTAGCATTAATTGAATCCCAGAACAGATGACAAAGTCCACAGAGTATTTGCAAATAATACAATGATCAGAAGCCTCTAAAGTTCAATTCAAAATACTTAGTCTTTTTCTGTCTTAGCAAGCATAGAAGCACTCCACCCATTCAGCATACACTGTATGTCCAATCAACTGTATATTATGCACATGGGAGGCTTTTGTGCATACAGGCACATATAGCATATTCTAGACCCGTCCTGCCATACTACTTTGTCAGCAATCAAAATCTTTCTGTGATATACAACTTCTTCCCATTGGCCTAAATGTAGCAATCTCATTGATTGGTTTTACCAGTACCTTTGATCTTATGTGTGACAAGCAATTCTTCTTGGCCTAGAACAGCTGCAGGCAGACATTTCAATTGAAATTGTTCAGATATTTCCTGTATTGGTTAAAATGGTGTAAAAGCTCAACGTTTTTTAACCTTAATGTATTCTCTACATTAAGGTAAAAAAACCTTCTGCTTTTGCTTATCCACTACTTGATGTGTTAGGCTGCTTACCCTTTACTGCCTTTACTGAGGCAGCGCACATTACCTCCAACTTGCGTTATGGTCATGATACACGGCTATCCTGGGATTGGGAGGCTCAACATCTCATGTTACAGGCCGAACAATGTAACTAGATCACAACATTTTTGTCCTCTTATATTGTATCTCTATTTTATTTAAGAGATTGGGCTTATGACATTACTTGTTCTGTTATATGTACATTTCTTGACTGTGATATGCTTTCTACAGAGCTGGAAATGTAACTCTTACTATTTATTATCAATAAAGATGATTATGGAAAAAAAAACTTCTGCTAGCAGCACCCCCTGCAGTCCCCCCTAAATATTTACCTGAGCCCCATCTCGATCCAGTGTGCAATAGAACAGAGGCTCTTCTGGGTCTCCTCATTGGCTGAGACACAGCAGTGGGGGCCATAGACTCCCACTGCTGTCAATCACAGCCAAGGGACAGGGAGAGGGAGTCAATCCACACTCAATGTGTCTTATAGACATTCAGAGCTGGCCTGGGAGTGAGCATGCATGTGCGCCCCCAGAGTAAGCTATGGGTCATTGGGCAAGGGGAAGGGGCCAGGAGTGCCGGCGGGGGACCTGGGAAGAGCAGGTAATTATAACATGTTTGCTTTTTTTAAATAAAAGACAAGCCTTTACAATCACTTTAAGGCAAAATTGTATTCTTTACTACTCTTAATTAGGGAAACAAATTATGCTTTGAAAATGCAATTCATCATAAACAAGGACATCGATATTTAACTCCCCCTTTAATCTTTAGGATCTCTTTCCATGTTTAATCAGACAGCCTGCATTTTACAGTCTCTCATAGATAACCTTGTATTTAGGCAACCAACCATAAATGACCCACAAATACCACAGTAGTAAAGGACTGTCAGTATGAACTTTAACTGACTCCACAAACAGAGGATTAGCATGCAGTAAAGCTGGTTCGCTTGTCATGTGTTTAGTCCCCTAATGTTTTACAGACTAACATGGCAGGCAAGGCAAACATGGTCTTAGAGAGTTTTTTTCAGCCATTTATCTATATAGGATCCTTAGATACTGGTGCACTCCCCTTACAGGGATTGCCAGAGCTTTGTTAAGAGAAGACACTGTCGGATCGGCTGTGGAAACAATCCACTTTTTTAATAAAGGCTGCAAGATAGCTGTTATATTGAGACCAGCTCAAGCAGCGTGTAAATAAAAGTTTTAATTGAAGAACGAAAAAAATCATAAACAAAAGAAACAATGGCTATTAACACATTTAAATCTTTCTCAGCAGAGAACATCTCTATTCCTCCAGACAACTAGAAAGAAAAAGATGCCTTCTGAGAGTGGGTGGGCTTATACCAGGCTGGTCACTGTTTTTTTTTTTTTTTTTTTTTTTTTTTTTTTTTTATTGCCAGTTGTCAAATTATCTTGTATGTGGCAGTATAGCCAAAATATCTCTTGAATCACATGTCCCTCAAATTCCATAAAATAAAAATGATTATATCTAAAAATATAGAACCACTGTCAGATTTTTTATGTCTGTCTGTGTTGCTGTTGAGAAATTCCCCTACACTACTACCCCTCAACTGTCTGTTCCCAAAAGAACAGGGAGTGAGGGTATATCTCTCCAAAAGAGTCCTGGATAGCAGAAAATCACAGTCAGAACTTCAATTCAACCTAAAAAAAAAGAAAACAAAACTTTTTTGGCCAATATACACTTTAATGAACTACAAACTCTACCACCATTTTTGCAAAGCAAAAGTATGGTAGACTTACTACAAGGTTCACAAATAAATTGGTCTTCTTGAACTTAAAGGTCATTAAAATAATTGATAGCTCCTTCAGTAGTATTAGAACATTTAATTTATCTAAAGAATAAAAAATGTAGTCATTATTTTATTTTACATGTTTTGTACATAGATACATAGTTAGTCTGGCTGAAAAAAGACAGAAGTCCATCCAGTTACATAGATAATATTTTACAGGTTGGACCCAAAGACAAATTACCAATTCCTTGGTCCTCTCTGGCATTACACAAATCTCTATATTATGAAGAGGCACAGAAATGCTTGGTGTACTTTTTAAAATGTATATGTTTTACTGCAGTTCAAAGTACTAGTATTTAGCACAATTATGCTTGTCAAAAATGTTGTCACGTTATACATTTACAGGTAATTAAATGCAAGGCTGCCGTGTGCTGGGGACCTAAGCAACCACTCACTATTGAAGAGATTGAAGTTGCCCCACCAAAACGTCATGAAGTTCGCGTCAAGGTGAACTGAGTTTTGTTTTTAAAAGTTTGCAAATGTTGAAAAAATAAATTATGTAAGATATTCAAACATTTTAGCATATTAAATGATTTACCTGGTGTACAGAATTGGGAAATACACATACATTAAGGATTCGAGTAAACAGGCTTCAGAATCGGAACCAAGCCAAATGTAGTATGCTTGTACAAAATTCTAAGCTGCTTTGATTTGCCTACAAGTTGCAAATGCAAATGGTTTTTGATTGGTGGAGAACGTGACTTCACATCCCCCCCGCCTCTTCACCTTGTACAGCTAGAGAAAGTGTTCCATTCATGGACAAAAATGCAAGAAATTCCATGAATGTCACGTAACTGCTTTATTATACTGCTGTTATTGCTGTAACTTAGAGTCAAAACAGAAACCAATGAAAAATGATGCGGAACAAACTTCAGATACTGGTACCTACTAAAAACATACTAAATATATAGGTTGTATATTATGTATATTTGCATTACTGCACGTCAAAACATTAAAGGAGAAGTACTGTATAGCCAAAGGTACTTTGGCTATACTTCTCCTGTAGGTCACAGGCATGCACTTTGTTAGAGGTTAAAGTCTGCTGCCAGCTGACATCACAGAGTCGGTCCAGGCTCTGAAAAGATCCCACCTATGTGGTCAGGATCCACCCAGAAGCCTGAATGGGCACCTGGTCTCTTAATGGTCTGCCAAGAGCCTGAGTCAGACCCTCCCCACAGCCTGGAGCTTCAGTGATCACTGGAGGCTTGCATTGTGTACAAAAAAACCTGATGTCTAGGGTGTCTTTTTTTTTTTTTTTTTTTTTTTTTTTTTTTTTTTTTTCTTTTTTTTTTTGATGAGAGAGATTCAGGAGAGGTCTGATTTAGGGGCTTTGGCCTCCCCTTCTTATATAAGAAAATGGAGCAGTTTACTGTAGTCAGACACCAGTTGGCTCCCTCAGTCCCAGCTCTTTGTTCAGAGTGGAGGGCAGAACTGAGTGATAAGCGGTGTCTGATCACTCAGTTCTCACTGTGGAGCCGGCGGGGGACAGCATCCACTTAGGTGAGTATAATTGTTTTTTTTACATAAGTCCATACTTCTCCTGTAACACATATTAACCACTTTACCTCTCACACCTGTACACCCTTCTGGACCAATGCAATTTTTACCTTTCTGCTATGGACCTGCTTATTCAGCATTCTCATTGTTACTGGTTAGGATAACAAAGTAACATATATAAGTGCAACTAAATTTTATCTGAGCACCACAAACTGAAAACTTTATTTAAACTAAACTCACCCATGCATCCACGTCTCCATGCTTTATTTTGTTGTCCCTAGCATTTCTAGCTGTGACCATCTTGAGTAAGGGCAAATAATTAAAGTAGCCTTTACTTCCAGGAATCCATCTTCCTTCAGCTCAGGCATGCAGACAGGAGGGTGTGCTATGCTGAGAAAGCCTCTCCTCCCCTTCTTCAGACTAAAGAAAAAAATGCCCATGAGAACTTCTGGGATGTATGACATCATTGGACTAGGCCAGAAACTAGGAAGCAACTGAAGAAATATAAACAAAAAAAGGTTAAAACAAATACGTATAATATACAATTACTGTATATTTACTAATGCTAGCAGCATAAGGATTGGTAATAGTTAATGACTTGGTCCTTGGCACCTCCATCTTGGATATGGGGGATAGCCTTGACTTCCTGAGGAATCACAGCTGGCCTCCTGCTGTGCATGTGCAAAATCGCATGTAGGAACGGTTCTGCAGCATCCTGGGATGTAAGTAACCTACTGGAGGCTGCAATATATCCTCCATCCTGAAGGTGACACTGTACTGTTTCTTAGGTTGAGTGTCTAGGATGAACTGTACCACAAGTCGGACCCAGATTGAGGGCAACGATTGCTAGGTAAGGAACCCAAGCACACAAGTTCCTTCACTACCGGGGACATCTGTCATCTGTGGAATGTCACCGCAGCTTCCTGACTGCTATATGCACATAGACAGTTAGCCATTAGCTATGGCAATACATCCTTCTCTCGACAGCTTTAACCATACATTAAAACACAGGTACTGCATCTTCCTCTCATATTGTTTTGTCTCCTGGTGTGACCATATGTTTGATACACCTTACATGCACCCCTTTAAGTATGTCCTCAAGTAACTTCAGACCAGGCAGAAATAAGTTAACAAGTAAGTCATCTTTACTGTAAGTTGATCACGTATAATGGAATATTTCATAGTTAGTGAGGTTGAAAAGAGACACTAGTCCAGCTAGTTCAACCAACAAGAAAAAGATATTGAAAACCTCCATATACACAATCTTATACACACAGTTGATCCAGAGGAAAGCAAAAAAAACCCAATAAAGCATGATCCAATTCACTCCAGTGGGGGGCAAAAATTCCTCCTTGACCCCCCAGAGGATTTTACGGTTAGTTTGTTCACAACCACAACCAAACGTATTTACTAAATTCTCAGGTACACTAGGCCCCACCTACACGTATGGCATGTCCCAGGAGGCTGCAGGCAGGGGGCGTGTCTAAGCACACATCTTTCTCGCCTAGGCAAGAATTGATGAAATGCGAAAGGGTACTTGTCAAAAAAGATACTTTCTCTTGTAAAAAAAAAAAAAGTGTTATGGCAGAGGTGATGAGGAGAGATAGCAGCACTATCATTTTTGAGTGAAGGTCAACTTTAAGTTTAGTGAGTTTTGGTATTGCAGGTAAAAAGCTACAGCAATAGAAAGTAAAAGAAAACCAACCCTGACCTGAGATGCTGACATAGTAAAAAAATTTTCTATTGTCCAATGTGTTGGATTTCTTGTCATGTTGGAAATGTTATAATTTTGTATTTTTCTGCAGATTGTGGCCACTGGGATATGTCGCTCAGATGATCATGTACTAAGTGGGGCTTTAAGTTTGAAATTTCCAGTGATATTAGGCCATGAAGCTGCAGGGGTTGTGGAAAGTGTGGGAGAAGGAGTGACTAAATTCAAACCAGGTACACTGTGTATAATTACTAGTACTGACTCTGTATTAAAGCTACATCGTACATGCAATGTTGAACACAAAATCTCAGCATAGTCGCTGGAACATAATATCAAACCCTTGAATATAAAAAGTCTGGTGTATGATAAATAAACGCAGCAAAATCGTTCCTGTAGATTGAACACATGTGAGATGTACCCCAATAGCAGGAGCTTCAGAAGTTCGAAGAATCTAGTACAATAAAGTGCTTACCACAGGAACATACAATCTGAGCGTTCTATGCATGTCATTAGGTATACCATCAGCAACTGGAAAAGGCCTGGACAGCAATAAGGACAGCAACCGGTCATCCACGATAGACACTCGGGGCCTCAGCAAACACTCGGGGGTCACATTTGGTTCACCGGTGGGTCCAACGACGTCCAGCCTCCTGGTGGTACTTCTCCTGGGATGGTCCACCTTGCACGGCTCGCAAATAACGAGCCAAAAGGCAAAAGGTACTAATGGTGAAGCACGTCTTTATTTAGATATAACAACTAAAATCCATATAAAACTCACACTTAGAGTTTCAAGTATTTTTCCAAACATATTCAAGTATTTTCCAAACTTATTCAAGGATCCCTGGTGGTCAGTGGTTCCCTGGTGGTTAACGGCGTCTGCTGGGTGGATCCCCTAACATGTTTCGAGCTCCAAGCTTGGATAACGAGCTTGGAGCTCGAAACATGTTAGGGGATCCACCCAGCAGACGCCATTAACCACCAGGGAACCACTGACCACCAGGGATCCTTGAATAAGTTTGGAAAATACTTGAAACTCTAAGTGTGAGTTGTATACTGATTTTAGTTGTTATATCTAAATAAAGACGTGCTTCACCATTAGTACCTTTTGCCTTTGGCTCATTTTAGGCACTAGCTGTATGGATTTGAGCACAGGGATCTCTTGTTTGTTGTATTGTTGGGTCAGTAGCCAGACCTGAACCTTGTAGCTCTCCCCATTGTGTCTTTTCCCCTATGCTAGCATTGTGTCCACAGTAGCACTTGTGTAGGCAGGGCAGAGTAGGACTGGCCATAGAGGGATTACTTTGACGCAGTTGGCCAGCTTAAGCATGTATTGCAATATGTGTGAACCAAATATCCCTATTTATTGCATAGTTTGCTTGAAAGGGTATATACCAGTGTGCAGAGGGTCCTTCAGAATTTCTATGAGATGCCAACCGTCACACTGCTGTGACTCCACTAACCCCTTATCTACCACACTGATAATGCTGTCTTGTGGAACGTCGCTACTTTTAGGCCCAGCACTGATAATATTGTTCTGTGGAAGGGAGGGGTGATATGCGCGAGCGCAAAGTCATTCCTTATTGGCTGGCGGGTGGAGCTCCAGAAGGGTTACGCGACAGCTTTAGTAAATAAACCCCAGTGTGCATTCTCTGGGTAGAACAATCTACAAATGCATGCTTGAAATGTTTTAGCAGTGAACAGTTGATAAATATGCTTTAGGAAAGGCGCCATGAAAATAAAAATGAATACCTTAAAAATATGCCCCAAAATCAAAGTGAATTGGCCTATCAGTTTTAGGTGGACTTACTCTTTCATTTATCCATTTATGTGATAAACACATTTAAATCCGTATTTGCTTTGTGAACAGAGTTTGAATAATGGTTTTTAATTCCTACAGGAGATAAAGTCATCCCACTGTTCGTGCCACAGTGCAGAGAATGCAGATGTTGTAAAAATCCAGAGAGTAATCTGTGTTACAAAAATGAGTAAGTCAATATTTTGATGTTCAGAGAGTATAGCAATTTACATAAAATAACTAAGTAGCCCAACACCGTACGAATCCAAACAACAGAAAAATAATCACAGGAGGACTTTTTTTTTATATTTGGAGACTCTTTATAATGGGTCAGAAACTACCTTTTACTGAACCTTTGTCACTTAAGGCTTCTTTTTGTTTGTCCGAAAAGCATGTTTTACTGTTTTGCTTTAATTTTTCTAGTTTGCCATTTTGCCAACAATTTTCCAACAATTTGCAATATTTTATTGAGACATACTACATTTATACTAAGATAGTCGTGGGCTTTAAGGCGTGGTTCACATACAGTATATGCATTTTGCATTTGATACTTTCTCCAATGCTTTTTGCAGTTTGTTTTGCGTTTTATTTTTACACACGCTTTTTATGTGTTTTTACTGTGTTTTGCATTTAGTTCAGATTTGTTTTTTTTTAACCACTTCCAGACCGGACACTTTTACCCCCTTCTTGACCAGGGCAATTTTCAGCTTTCAGCGCTATCACACTTTAAATGACAATTGTGCGGTCATGCAACACTGTACCCAAATAAATTTTTTTACCATATTTTTGAGACAGATAAAGCTTTATTTTGGTGGTATTTATTCACCGCTGGGATTTCTTTTTTTTTTTGCTATGTAAATGAAAAAGTTCAAAAATTTTGAAAAAAAGTGTTTTTTTAATAAAATTTTGCAAATAAATATTTCATCATAAATCTTGGCCAAAATGTATTCCGTTATCTCTTTAGTAAAAAAAAAAAAAAATCCAAATTAGTTTATAACCAAAAGTTATAATTTTGAAACATTTTTTTTTTACATTTTTATTTTATTTTTTATATTTTTTTTACATACTGTCACCCTAGCAGTACAGTATCACCATGGTGACACTGTACTACTTGTGAGGGGTGATGAAGATTTTTTTTTTTTTTTTCTTACACTGATTGCTTTTACACCCATATAGGATGTAAAAGCAATCATTTCTGTTGCTCTCTGTCTGCATTCTTGCACTCATTGAGAAGTACTGAGTGAGCTGTGATTGGTCACAGCTTGTCACATGGTACAAGGCTGTTGTGAATAGCCTTGTACCATGTGACCTCTGTGATCATTCACAGATTTCACACGTAGTAAGCAATGATGTCACAAGTGACATCTTGCTTACTACTTTGCATGTGATCACTGATTGGCCAATCGGTAATCACATGATCGGGACCTCGCACAGAGGTCCCGTCCGACGATCGGTGTTTCACTGGGTCCGGAGGACACAGCGGGCACCGGATCGCGGTGCTGCACGCTCCCTGGGACCCTGCGCGCTCCACCCGACCCTGCACTGCCACCGTCCGGGCGTTTATATGCAACGGCCGGTCGGGAAGTGGTTAAGTGGAATTTTTTTTTGTTGCTGGGCAGATGCAAAAATGCAAAATGCAGCAAAAACGCACAACCATGCATTTTCAGTAGCTTCTCCTTTGAACTTTTTATACGTTTTTACCACGTTTTGCATTTTATTCAGCTTTTTTTTTTTAAAGTTGAATTTTTTTTTCTTGCTGGGCAAATGCAAAAATTCAAAATTGCAAAATGTGGCAAAAACACACTACCATGCATTTCAGTAGATTCTCCACTGAACTCTATTGTAGCAAAAAACGCTGCTTTTTGCTTTTAAAAAAGCCCCTGACCTTTTCCAAAAATGCAGCAAAAAGCATAGATGTGAACTTGTTCCATAGGAAACCATGTTAAATAGACTGTAGTGCATTTCTGCAAAATGCAAAAAGCACTAAAAAATGCATTTGTGTAAACTGAGCCTAAAGGAACACAAGTTTTTATGGTTAGCATAGATGTTTTCCATTGGGCGTTTACAAAAAATTCATAACTTTGTCGAAACATTCTGAAAGAAGTGCTATAAGTTATGAATTTTTTTTACCAAACTCACTAGTAGCTGCCCACTTTTAGACTGATTTTCTGTAGATAATGATCCATATAGAAAACAGCCACATTAACTTCATACAGAGAAGGGGGGTTGACTCCCATCTGATCATTCAGCTGTGTGTTTTCTGAATCAAATCACACTCCATTTACCGTACAGAAGCATGCTGACTGCATGGGGTGAATTTTGAATATTTATTTGCAATGGTTCATATTTACCTAAGAATAAAAAATAATTTAAAACATATTTATTTATGAGTAAAATAAAGAAAATGTACAAAACAGTATACAACCCCATTACATAAAAGTATTTTATTTCCTAAACAGCATTGGCAAATATGAAGGTGTGCTGTTGGATAAAACCAGCAGATTTACTTGCAAAGGAAAACCCATTTGCAACTTTATCAGCACCAGCACATTCACTGAATACACTGTGATGGATGAAATAGCTGTTGCTAAGATCCATGACGATGCTCCACTGGAAAAAGTCTGCTTGATTGGCTGTGGGTTCTCAACTGGATATGGCTCTGCTGTAAACATTGGTAAAGTAAGTATAAAACCTCTATGCTAGTTAAATAGTCAAAATATTCTTGATTCTTTACTGCATAATGATATCACAAGATGTTTTCAAGGCCTGAGTGCATTCAATTCCAGCATTTTAGTGCACCCAGGAGGCACAGTTCTAGCATCTGGCCCCACTGCCTACAGCCCATGATATTTTATTGTAGGCTGAAATACACTGTGGATCTAGGGGGCTGCATGCTGTACTGAGTGGTACTCACATTTATGGCCCTATGCTTTCAGGGATGGATGTCTGGAAAACAGATTACTTGTTCTCCACAAATTCATCCCTGAATGTATAGGGCCCTAAGCACGAATGACACTTGATACAGAATTTATAAGGAATTAAGAAGTGAGACATCAGCTGGGCTTTAAAACCAGTAGATGCTACCTAGAAGCGAACACTAAGACACTGTTATTTCTTCTCTTGTCCAGAAAATCATCCTCTGTGTCTTGCCTAGGGTAAATTTGCTTTGCTATGGAGGTCTCGACATCTGGAGTGGAGGCATATGCAGCACTAAACACAGCCCTTTGATTCAAATTATAAACATGCAGCACTTATTGTACAGTCCACAAAATAGTATCTGTATGACTAGATGCAATCATTTGATTGCGCTGCCAATGCACTGCAATAGACTTCTGTTTTTTTTTTTTTAATCCAGCACAGCATAGTGCATTGATGGTTTATAAATGTGCTTTGTGGCGCACTAAAATAAAGGTTCATTGTGATGCACTGGGGAAGGTGCTGGAATGTCATTCAAAACAAATCATGCAATGGTTTGCATTGGGTGGTAACATGGACATTTAATTTTGTATTACTGCAACGCTGATTTATAGTTTAAGAAAAACATCATTAGCATGCAGCACTTCCACTAATCTACATATAGAAGCTGTAACTGAGCATTATATATCTCTCTCTAAAAAAATAAAACTCTGCAGATGCCATAGTCAACATAAAAAAAAATGCTGCAGATAGGTGCCATAATGAATAGCCCAATGTGATTTCAAGCCAGATAGTGGTGATGGCTTTAACTGCTTTACTCAATCCCATCAATGATCCCTTTCCGCTACCTTCTGGCAACCTTTTAAGGGGATGCTAATTCCAGGAGGAAGCTTCCAAATCAGGTGATTGCTTTAATGAGCTGTCCCAGCAGTTGAATAGAAGCCCATCTCACAAGGTAGTCAGATTGCAGCTATTGTAGACATATTTATCTTCAGAGGTACAGAAATCGTATTTTTTGTTCTAATACTTTCCATTGCACCAAATTTGACAGCCTTCCGGCGTTTTAATGCAAGCATACAGTGGTTGTTTTGTAAGCTGTTAGAAACTGGCTGAAACCCAACTTTAGAGTCCATGTTATGATTTCTGAGGATCTTTAGGAATGAATTACTTCACATAATAAGTAGCTAGAGAAGTCAGGGGTTGCTTGTTTTAAAGTTTATTTTTACAGATAACTAGGAATATGTAAAAACAAATGCTCCAAAACTGGGCACAAATGCACTTTATGCTGTCCCACGTAGCCAAAAGTCAGCCCGTAAAATACAAAGATGTATACTTGCTTGTCTGATGGTCCATGCCTTACAACTCTGCCACATAGCAGATCTCTGGTAGTTCTACAGTATGTATCCAATGCTTCTGGGTGTGTACAGAATACCTACTCCCAAGCTGCATGCTTTGATTCCCCCTGGTGGCATCTTTGTCACTAACAGGGGCAGTTGGCAGAAACCATAGCATGTAGCATGGGAGCAGGTATTGGACACCCCTGGAAGTGTTGGATACCTCTAGTGGTCAGAGATTTGCAACTGATAATAGTTTTAAGAAATAAGGTGCTAAAAGTGCAAGTATACATGTACATTCTTTTACGAGGTCAGTTAAATTTTTAAATTGAACAGCCTAATGACAAAAAAACTTTACATTCAGTTCAGACAACATGGAAACATTTTTATGGCTCTTAATCTCATCATATGTGATTTTCATCAGCAATGAAAGATCAATAAATGTGAACATATCTGAAAAGATGAGCAGAGTTCTTTATGGTAAGCTGGAGAGGTTATTCTTTATGGTAAGCTAGATATTAACTACTATTTATTAACTGGGTGGTAAGTGAATGGTCTGTGGAACAAATTGTCTGCTTTCAGGTTTCTTTTTATATTTTTGTAAAAATGTACCCTCAACACCAGGGCTATAAAGTTCATCACTGTGGCCCTTTGATGTACAATGTCTGTGGCCACTTGGACATCTTTGTTTGGTAAAAACCAGGGAAAGGAAATTTTATTCTAAAGAGGTCAAGGATCTCTGGCAAATTCTGTGTCTGAACTATTAATGAAAATGATGGGGTGTAGTGTTCAAGAAGAAAAAAACTTATCCCTGCAATTTTCCAGGTCATTTGAAAAAATGTCTGTACTCTCATACAGGGCCTTCATTACTTCACAGTGAATATGCTGTGCTTCATTTTTTACAGGTTAAGCCTGGCTCCACATGTGCAGTGTTTGGTTTGGGAGGTGTTGGGCTCTCTGTGGTTATTGGATGTAAAGTTGCTGGTGCCTCCAGAATTATTGGAATTGATTTAAATAGTGATAAATTTGCAAAAGCCATGGAGTGTGGAGCCACTGAATGTATCAATCCAAAGGACCACAATATTCCTATCCATGAGGTCTTGGCAAAGATGACTGACGATGGTGTGGATTATGCCTTTGAGGTCATTGGAAACACTTCAGTAATGGTCAGTGACATACAAAATCTAATAAGTAGTAATATGTTTGCTGTAAGTTAAACTGTTTTCTATTAATACTGTACATGCATAAACTATTAAAGACTTGCTATTTAAGTGATACAGATACATGTAGAGAAAAATCACAAAACACTCTTAAGGTTAAATTGGTGCTCAGCAATCTTATTTGTATAGAAAATGTAGTGATTTTGATTTCATGAATTGCAGCACACCTATGTCTCTTTCTCTGACCCACCAAAATTTAGAGAAGTAGGTCTGTGCTGGGCACTTAATAAGTAAAAGTCAGCAATTTAAAATAAGCAAGGTCAGTTTGAGCTTGTTTGGTCTGATTCACCAATATTTGAGGTGGTGGATGACAAAAAGACCAAAGGGGGTTTATTTACAAAGCTGGAGAGTCCAAAATCAGACTCCCTTCGTCATAGAAACCAATCGGCTTCCAGGTTTCATTGCCAAAGCTTCATTGAACAAGCTGAGGTTAGAAGCTGATTGGTTTCTATGCAGAAGGGAGTCTGATTCTGGACTCTCCAGCTTTAGTAAATAAACCCCTATGAGTCTCGTAAAGAAAAAAGAACAAATATACAGTATGTGAGCTACCCATTATGTCTGACAGGACAAATTCAAAACAATAGAAACTGCTATAATTGTGTGCTTGGAAGGGTCTTTATGGAAGTGCTTTTTCTGCTGCATATTTCTAGCATTCGGTAGCCTTTATGTGCTCCTGGACCAATGTCTGTTATATAGAATGTATTTATGGAGGACCAATGTTCAGCAGGATCAGGTGGTAGACAAGTTAGTTGACTTTAGTAGGTTGCACAGAAACTCCTTACCAACAGTATTTCTACAAGTTCAGTATGCAGAGAGGTGCTAAAATGCCATCAGGCTTTTTCAATAGGGAAGAAAACATACCAATATGGCTGAGAATCATAGTTGAATTGTCAAGAGAGTTATAGCCCAACTATGGCCGCAACCTGATCTATATACATCAATTAAACCTTAAAGATCAATTCTAGGATAAAAGTAACCCCCCTACCACTTCTTGCTCCCATCTCCCCTCTCCCCTCTCTGATGACTGGGTTAAAAATAATCCCTGTTTAGTTTTTGCAGCCCCTGTAGGTGAAAATGGCATCAGCAAGGATCCTAGATGGAGGGACTCAGGTGAGAATAACTGAGTTCACAAGAAAAACTTTAACACCTGGAAGGATGGGTTAGAAGTGGGTGGGAGGAAGTGGTGGAAAAATACAACTGGGTCAGTTTTTTGTTTCTTTTAACCCACTGGTTGAATGAAATAAACTAGCCCATGTGTGGCCAGTTTAAACTATATGTAAATCCTCACCTCATAAAACAACCCATACATTAAGGCTACATTCTCACTAGCTTTGTCAGCAGGCATCGTACAAGCATTTGGAAGTGTATTTAATGCTTCTCAGACGACTATGAAAATTCTGCACATGGCAGCACACAGTGCTGTTCACACTGAAACGTTAGCATTGCATCGCGGCACAATTGTTGCCTCATGTGGAGTCAGGAGGAGCTGAAGCCTCGCATTCAAGTCTATGGTGATGCTCCTCAAATGCCTGGCAGACATTTGCAGAGCGTTTGCGGAGCGTTAATACCATTAAACTTCATTATAGGTGTTTGTGGTGCAGTTTTAACGCTTGGCAAATGCCTATCAAACACCCAAAAACGTGCATAGGGCGTTTGGGGAGTATTAAAAATGCTTCCCAAATGCCTGTCTAACACTTGTCAAACGCTATAGGGGCATTTGGCAGGAGTTAGAAATAAAGTCAAGTGTGAACGTAGCCTTAAAATAGAAATGAAAGGTAAAACATTATAATTACTTCATTACCTTCTTTTATGTTATCACATACCCTCTGTTCTTCTGGCACACACTTTCCCCCCTGCACAACCATTCACTGGTAAGAAGTCTGATCATTGGAAGAGAGCAGGCTGAGTTCACTGCACAGCCTGAAAACTGACCACACTGTGCTCTCATGCCTAGTGTAATCAGTTTTAATAGAAAAGCAGAGGGACTAGTAGGAACACCAGATAAGCAATACAAAGAGAACACGGTACATATTCAGACAAGTACATGGTACAACACGCATACAGTATATCAGGAACATGAATTGTTGGGTTTACATATTATTTAACATTTTGTTACTAGTACTTCAGAGAGTGCTGGCTGGGGAAACTAGATACTAGCAAAAGTATTAAACCCTTTTTTGCAGCTCTAACATCTTCAACTCTTCTGGGAAGGCCATCCACAAGGTTTAGGAGTGTGTCTATGGGAATGTTTGACCATTCTTCCAGAAGCACATTTGTGAGGTCAGGCACTGATGTCGGACGAGAAGGCCTGGCTCTCAGTCTCCACTCTAATTCATCTCAAAGGTGTTCTATCAGATTGAGGTCAGGACTCTGTGCAGGCCAGTCAAGCTCCTCAACCCCAAACTCGCTCATCCATGTCTTTATGGATCTTTCTTTGTGCACTGATGTTCAGTCATGTTGGAACAGGAAGGGGACATCCCAAAACTGTTCCCACAAAGTTGGGAGCATGAAATTGTCCAAAATGTCTTGGTTATCTTGATGTCTTAAGAGTTCTCTTCACTAAAGCTAAGGGTCCAAGCCCAACCCCTGAAAGACAACCCCACACCATAATCCCCCTCCACAAAACTTTACACTTTGGCACAATGCAACCAGGCAAGTACCATTCTCTTGGCAACAGCCAAACCCAGAAACCCTCATCGGATTGTCAGACAGAGAAGCGTTATTCATCACTCCACAGAACACATCTCCACTGCTCTAGAGTCCAGTGGTGGCGTGCTTTGCATTGCAATTGGTGATGTAAGGTTTGGATGCAGATGCTCGGTTATGGAAACGCATTCCATGAAGCTCTCTACATACTGATGTGCTAATCTGAAGGCCACACATAATTTGGAGGTCTTTAGCTATTGACTTTGCAGACAGTTGACAACTTCTGAGCACTGTGCGCGTCAGCATGCGCTGACCCCGCTCTGTCACTTTGCAGTGCCTGCTACTTCGTGGCTGAGTTGCTGTTGTTCCCAGTTGCTTCCACTTTGTTATAATACCACTAACAGTTGACTGTGGAATATTTATTAGCAAGGAAATTTCATGGATGGACATGAATTGCACAGGTGGCAACCTATCACGGTACCAAGCTTGAATTCACTGAGCTCCTGAGAGCAAGCCATTCTTTCATAGATGTTTGTAGAAGCAGTTTGCATGCCTAGGTGCTTGATTTCATACACCTGTGGCCATGGAGGGGATTGGAACACGTGAATCCAATGACGTGAAGGGGTATATATATACTTTTTTCTTTTGGTAGTAAAGTGTATTGTAAAAATAAAGCCACTTGACCTCTGGACGATTTACCCTACTTCTTGACCAGACAAATTTTTGCGATACGACGCTGCCTTACTTTAACTGACAATTAACATGCAACGCTGTACATAAATTAAATTTATGTAATTTTTTTTTCCCACAAATAGAGTTTCCTTTTGGTGGCATTTGATCACCTCTCTCTTTTTTTTTTTTTTTTTTTACTTTTTGCTTTCTAAACAAAAAAAGCTGACAATTTTAAAAATATATGTTTTTTTTATTTTCTGCTATAAAATATTTCCTATAAAAAAAAAAAATCTAATTCCTTCATAAATTTAGGCCAAGGTGTATTCTGCTACATATGTTTGGTACAAAAAAAATCCCAACTAGTGTATATTGATTAGTTTGTGCAAAAGTTATAGTGTCTACAAACTATGGAACATATACTGGAATTTATTTTTTCTTTTAATACTAGTAATAGCAGCGAGCAGCAACTTATAGCAGGACTGCAATATTTTTACACTGACACTTTGTGGGAACCAGTGACACTAATACAGTTTAAAGTACAAAAAATATGCACTGGCAGTGTACTAATGACACTGGGTGATCAAAGGGTTAACTGTGTGCATAGCTAAGTGCTTGGTGTACACTAGGTAGTGCTTTTACTAGGGGAAGGGAAGGATGGTGTTCCCAGCTTTGCAGGGACAAACAATACTTCACACCCCCAACCCCTCAGAACAGAGCTCTGCCTTGTTTACATAGACAGCGGTCTGTTCTGTGTCCTGGCCAAGGATCAGCTGGTGCTGGTGGACATCTGTCCACTGGCACTTGCAGATTGGCTTCTGTTGTGAGTGTTCACAGCAGTATCGATCCGCCGCTGGTGTGCGTGCACCCCCTTAGTTGTGGCTAAATGATGATTAAACCTGAGGTATTGCATATTGTGTCAAATTTATAAAGATTTTAAAGCGGAGCTCTACCCAAAAGGAGATGTTCTGATTTAAGGACTGGTCCCCTGCTCCCTTTTAAATGATTGGCACCTTTGGGGAGGGGGTATCCGAAATCGACAGGTACCCGCTCCCACTTGCGCTGCAATCACCTAGGCGATTGGAAGTGGAAGTTGTCCTCCCCCTCCCTCCCTATAGTCTTCTGGGACATGTGACAGATCCCGGAAGACGCAAGCTGTCACAGCCGAGTGCCCACACTGAAGATGCTGGCGCTGGGAACACAGGGCGACCTGTGAAATGGGTTGTGGGGGGGGGGGGGGGACACCGTGGGATCGAGGGACAGGCAAGTCTCTGTTTTTTAAAAGTCAGCAGCTACAGTGTTTATAGCTGCTGACTTTTATTTTTTTTTTATTTTCACTGGAACTCCTCTTTAATAGAATATTTTACACACATGTGCTCTAAATGTAATTAACATACAACCTAGTTACAAAGCATATCTACCATATGTTTTTACCAGGTGAAAAAAAGATCCCTGAGAATGTTTACCAGCTGCTGTTTACAGGGGAAGGAGGGGGTGGAAATAAGGACTGAGGTACTTATGTGCAACTTATTCAGATACCATGGTGTGGAACGTATTTAAGTACATTATAATACGGGTTTGTCAAAATTTGATATGTGATGAATGGTTTTTTCGCTTTTACAATTATGCTTAGTGAATATTGATTGTGTGTTAAATTATTAGACCTCTGCCCTTCAATCTTCTCACTTTGGCTGTGGAAAAACTGTCATCGTTGGCTTGGCTCCTTCAACTGCTGTGATGTCATTTGATCCCTTGCTAATTCTAACTGGACGCATCTTGACCGGAGCTGTTTTTGGAGGTAATGTATAATTAAGAATTATATTTGATTCATTTTCAACCACTGTACTATATTTACTGCAGAGTGAAACATATACTGTATTTCTCAATAAACAATTACTGGTATACAATGACAACTGGTAGAGTGACACTCAGAGTGATTCTTGAGTGCAACCCTGAAGGCAATTTTTCTACCAATTTTAATCAACTGCAAAAACTATCACATGGAAAAAGATAACGTTTCACGTTTACGTAGTCACATAGAGGGAAGATTGATTGGTCACTCTAATCCTATCTGCTATTTTTGTAAATAAAAGCTGATTCAAATTGCTAAATTTCCATTTATATGGCCAGAATTAAAGTGTTACTAAACCCAGGACCCTGCATTCACTATATCTGGTCTCCCACAGTACACAGAACATGTCATATGACGTCCTCCTACTCTAACCGCGCATGCACGGCTCCGGGAGCGTGCAGTGCGGCGATCGGTGGTGCGCTGTGTCTCTCGGACACAGCGGATCACCAATCAACGGAAAGAGCCGAAGATGTCGGCTTGGTCACGTGATCAGCTGTGTCCAATCGGTTATCGGCATTTCTCTCCACTCGAGCTGTCACGCTGACAGCTCGAGAGGAGAGACGGTAATTGGCATCACTCAGAGGGGACATGTGCACTGATCATCAGGGCACTGCCGATCAGTGTAGCCCCAGCAGTGCCACCTGTCAGTGTTCATCAATGCCAGCTGTCAGTGCTCATCAGTGCCACATCAATGCCACATATCAGTGCCTACAAATGTACATCAATGCCACATATCAGTGCCCATCTGAGCTGCCAGTCAGTGCCACCTATCAATGCCAGTCAGTGCCACCTATCAGTGCTGCCAGTCAGTGCCGCCTATCAGTGCCAGTCAGTGTCTATCAGTGCCACCTATCAGTGCCCCTCAGTGCTGCCTATCAGTGCCGCATATCAATGCCACTTATCAGTGCAGCCTATCAGTGCCATATATGAGTGGTGCCTTTCAGTGCCCATCAGTGATGCCTGTCAATGCCCATCAGTGCCACCTACCAGTGCCTCCTCATCAGTGCCACCTATCAGTGCCCATCAGTGCAGCCTATCAGTGCCCATCACTGCAGCCTCATTAGCGCACATCAGGGAAGGAGAAAAATCACTTATTTACAAAATTTTAAAACAAAAACTAAGAAAAAAAATGTTATTCAAAGTTTTCAGTTGTTTTTGGTTTGTTTAAGAAAGAATAAAAAACCCAGAGGTGATAAATACCATCAAAAGAAAGCTCTATCTGTCTCAAAAAAATGATAAAAATGTCATATGTGTACAGTGTTGCATGACCGCGCAATTGTCATTCAAAGTGTGACAGTGCTGAAAGCTGGAAATTGGCATGGACAGGGGGTATAAGTGCCCTGTAGGCTAGTGGTTAATTGAGCAAATCTGGCCACACCTGGATGCATCTTGGGTTCTGAAGAACTGAGCATTTTTAAAGCATTTAAAAATAGGGGTACTTAACCACTTCACCTCACAAACCTGTTCACCCCCTATGGACCAGAGCGATTTTATATAATTCTGCTATGGGCCTGATTGTTTGGCGATAACTTTGTCATTACTTGCAGCACTAAGGTATTGCATATATTGTGTTTTTTAAGGACAAAAAAGGCTTTCCTTAGACAATAAAACATAACAAAACTAAACAAAACACACTTTTATTTGAGCAGTGTTAGTTTAAAAACAAAATCGTGTTATTGCAGATAAAAAGAGTGCATTTTATTCTGTTTTTTGTCTTGTTTAAAATGACACTAAAATTATGATTTTGGCACAAACTATTGCAAAGTTATTTACAAATGAAATAACGTGTTTTTTTATTTTGCATTTTTTTAAATGTATAACTATATTTTAAAGGTGTAAAACTATTAATGGAGAAAACAAAAACCTAACACTGCTTTAAACTTATCCACAACTTTATCCCTGACATGTCTGGTGTGTTCCTTGGCCTTCATGATGCTGTTTGTTCACTAATGTTCTCTAACAAACCTCTGAGGGCTTCACAGAACAGCTGTATTTATACTGAGATTACATTACACACAGGTGGACTCTGTTTACTAATTAAGTGACTTCTGAAGGCAATTGGTTCCACTAGATTTTAGTTAGGGATATCAGAGTAAAGGGGGCTGAATACAAATGCGCGCCACAATTTTCAGATATTTATTTGTAAAAAATTTGAAAATCATTATTTTCTTTTCACTTCACAATTATGTGCCACTTTGTGTTGCTCTATCACATAAAATCACACACATACACATATATATATATATATAAAAATATATATGGATGGATGGATGGATAGTGTCTGTCTGTCTGTCTGTCTGTCTGTCTCTCTCTCTCTCTCTCTCTCTCTCTCTCTCTCTCTCTCTCTCTCTCTCTCTCTCTCTCTCTCTCTCTCTCTCTCTCTCTCTCTCTCTCGGATTCATTAAAATGTATTTATAAAATATATAAAAATGTGGCTCATGCAGATGCATTTTGAAAGCACCCTCCCCTGCCAGAACAGCACTTTAATTTCTCTCTTATCTTAATGCAATTTTGTATTGAACTGTTAGGCTACGTTCACACTAGCTTTGTCAGCAGGTGTCAGGCATTTCCGAAGCATTTTTAACGCTTCTCAAACACCTAGAAAAACTTCTGCACATGGCAGCACACAGTACTGTTCACACTGAAGCGTTCGCCTCACCAGGGGCGGACTGACCATTTGGAAACTCGGGCACTGCCGAGGGCCCGGGGTCAGTAGGGGGCCCCATGAGATGCCCCTGGTACCTTTTTCATAGGCATTTTTGAGTTTGGGCAAAGACACAGGGGCCCCATGATCCCCTATTGCCCGGGGGCCCCATGAGTTGTCAGTCCGCCCCTGCGCGTCACATCGTGTTGCGTCGTGGCAAAACTGACGCCTCATGTCGAGTCAGGAGGAGTTGAAGCCTCCCATCCAAGTCTATGGTGCCGCTCCTCAAACGCCTGGCAGGCGTTTGCGACGCAGTTGTGAGGCAGTTGCGGAGCGTTAATACCATTTAACTTCATTATAGGCGTTTCTGGTGCGGTTTTAATGCTTGGCAAATGCCTCAAAACGCCTCGAAACTGCGCATAGGGCGTTTGGGGAGCATTTGAGGAGAGTTAAAAACGCTTCCCTAACGCCTGTCAAACGCTATAGGGGCGTTTGGCAAGAGTTAGAAATAAAGTCAAGTGTGAACGAGCCGTAAGCGTTCTTGTTGTTAGTAAATGATGAAACTGTTCTGGGCTCTTGACATATCATCTTGCAGTCTTCTTCAGGAGAACATGGAGGGTCTTAGATCTACAACATATGAATATACAAACAATGTCATATTAAATAATAAATAAAATACAACATCCGCCCTAGCAATGTTTTAAAGAGATAAACACTTACAGTCAACTGTATTAGAACGTAGAATTATTTATAAAATTATCACATCTGCTGTCCCTATGCATGCAAGCCTGTGTGTCTTTGACCATGAGAAGTACCACATGGGATACACGAGTTGTGTCTGACCCTGATATAGGCTGTAAAGAACATAGATATATACAAATGTTGAATATGACAATATTGCTTAAAGTAAAATTAAAGGCAAATCTTTTTTTCTGTTTTGAACAGATTAGAGCCCCTGTCAGTTTTTACTGTTGTCTGTGCCCCCCGATAGGGATATTCTCCCTCTCTATTTGTCCTGTTTACCATTATCATTGAAAGTTAAAGTAAAAGAAAATCTCACATTTTGGGTTGTCCCCCAATAAGTAATAAAGGGGAAATCTTCCAATGGGGACCTTCGTAACCAAGAGATTCTCATAATTTGCAGGCATTTCCTCTCACCTCCTATTTTGGATTTGGGACAAGAAATGAAGGGAATTTCCCCCAATGGGACACAGATGAAAAAAAAAAAAAAAAACGGGGTTAAGACCCTCCCTTATTCTCTCCAAAATGAAAAAAAAAAAGATTTGCTTATAATTCTACTTTAGTATTCAATATGAATATATACCATATAATTTATATACTGTATATGCTATAAAGGCAAAATTACCTGTATTACTATATTAAATACCACCTGTTTGTTTCCTTTCTGAAGGCTGGAAGAGTAAAGATGATGTACCAAAACTGGTATGTGACTATCTGGACAAGAAGTTTGATTTAGATCCCCTTATAACACACTATATGCCATTTGAGAAGATAAATGAAGGATTTGAACTCCTGCGTAATGGAAAAAGGTATATCACCAATTTCCTTGATGTGAACTTTGCTATCGGTAGAGAAATTAAATGAACCTTTGCTCCTCTTAAAGCAAACAGGCTAGGTTTACAGGCTGGACTCCCATAGCTTGAGGATCACAAGTATGTGAGGCCCCACAATGCTGAAGCCAGGCAAAATACGCTTTAGTATTGATCTGGTGCTTTGGAGCGGGTGATTGGGTATAAAGGGGCAAATGGAAGGCAAATAAGTTGAAATTAAGCACCCTTTCCTTGTGGAAAAGTCCAGCACCTATTAGCACTGGCAATTTGAAGAAGACATCCTTTGGCTTGGTAACCTACAGTATACATACATCAGGTAACAACATGATTGCCAGACTGGTGTCCTGGGGAGAAGAGGGTTATTTTTTTTATTTAAATATTGAACAAAATATTACAAAGAAAAAAACAAAACAAAACATTTAGTAAAATAAAAATACCAGACCCATTCAGAGGTGGACCACATAATAAAGATAAATTGGTCAGCATCAAATCAACCAATTTTGGGTCACATTTTACACATTGTAGATTAAATAGGGTCAAATTTTATAAAATGGATTTATTGGTTAACCCATTCACAAAAGTCATGGAAAAGATAAGCGTTGAGATAAATCATGTGATATGCACCATAAGTCAAAACAATGGAATAATTGATAGATATCATATACACGTGTGTGTATATGTAGGCAGAGCAGCTAATATTCCCAGTCCACCACATACAGTATGATCCAAGGTATTTGAACGGAAGACTGGGAGAAGAATGACAGCACTGTGACTCCTTACGGGCTCTGTGTTTTACACAGGACTGCCAATCTAACACTAGAGTCTTCCTCACATGTGTAAAGAGCAGAATTAGAAACATATCTGTTCTGAAGCATCTTAGGTGTATGTCTTGAGATCAATGTTAGATTATGTTACAATGATATACTAGGATTATTAGCAGCATCTAATAAAATGTACACTGCTCAAGAAAATTTAAGGAAGACTTTTTAATCAGAGTCTAGCATAAAGTCATTTAAACTCGTGGGATATTGATATGATCAGTTAGGTAGCAGAGGGGGTTGTTAATCAGTTTCAGCTGCTTTAGTGTTTATGAAATTAACAACAGGTGCAATTGATGGGCAACAATGAGACAACCCCCAAAACTGGAATAGTTTTACAGGCGGAGGCCACTGATTGTTTTCCCTAGTCATCTTTTCTGAGTGTTTTTCACTAGTGTTGCAGTTGGCTAGGGTCAGTGTTACTACTGGTAGCATTAGGCAATACCTGGACCCTACAGAGGTTGCTCAGGCAGTCCAACTCCTCCAAGATGGCACATCAATACTTGCCAGAAGGTTTGCTATGTCTCCAGCACAGTCTCAAGAGCACGGAGGAGTTTTCAGAAGACAGGCAGTTACTCTAGGAGATCTAGACAGGGCCGTAGAAGGTCCTTAACCAATCAGCAGGACCAGTATCTGCTCCTTTTGTGCAAGGAGGAACAGGATGAGCACTGCCAGAGCCCTACAAAATGACCTCCAACAGGCCACTATTTTGAATGTCTCTGAACAAACAATCAGAAACAGACTTCATGAGGGTGGTCTGAGGGCCTGACATCCTCTAGTGGGCCCTGTGCTCACTGCCCGGCACCATAGAGCTCAACTGGTATTTGCCATTGAACACCAGAATTGGCAGATCCACCACTGGCACCCTGTGCTTTTCACAGATGAAAGAAAGTTCACCCTGAGCACATGTGACAAACATGAAAGGGTCTGGAGAAGCCGTGGAGAACGTTATGCTGCCTGTAACATCGTTCAGCATGACTGTTTTGGTAGTGCGTCAATGATGGTCTGGGGAGGCATATCCATGTAGAGACGCACAGACCTCTACAGGCTAGACAATGGCACCCTGACTGCCATTAGGTATCGGGATGAAATCCTTGAACCCATTGTCAGACCCTACGCTGGTGTAATGGGTCCTGGGTTCCTCCTTGTACATGACAATGCTCAGCCTCATATGGCCAGAGTATGCAGGCAGTTCCTGGAGGATGAAGGAATTGATACCACTGAATGGCCCCCAACGCTCGCCTGACCTAAATCCAATAGAACTCTTCTGGGATATCATGTTTCGGTCCATCCGACGCCGTAAGGTTGCACTTCAGACTGTCCAGGAGCTCAGTGATGCCCTGGTCCAGATCGGGGAGGAAATACCCCAGGACACCATCCGTTGTCTCATTAGGAGCATGCAACGACGTCAGGCATGCATGCAAGCACATGGGGGTCATACAAACTACTGAGCACCATTTTGAGTTGCCGTAATGAAATTTCAGCAAAATGGACTAGCCTGCTGCATCATTTTTTCAATTAGATTTTCGGGGTGTCTTTGAATTCAGTCCTCTACAGGTTAATAATTTTCATTTCCATCAAACGATGTGGCATCCTTATGTTCCTAACACATTACCAAGTCCATATCAGTATAGATATCCAGTATGATATTTTTCCCCATTGAGATCTGATGTGTTTTCAAAGTGTTCCTGTAATCTTTTTGAGCAGTGTATGATAAATACAATTCATGTTTAACCTGTCCTATCTTTCTTTTTTGTAGTATTCGCACAATTCTGACCTTCTAACGCTATATGATCAAGTGACCGTCTGATAACCAAGTCTGGATGATTTCAACTAAGAAAAAAATTCAGTATCAATCATTGTGATTTAACATACAGAAATAGTCTTTACTTTGTCTTCACTATTCCTTATATCACCTTGATGCGGTATTATGCATAATGGCAATGAACTTTTGAAACAACTTTAGAAACATTTTATTTCTTTTTTTGTGTTTTCATCATGGTTGTCCATGTGAATTAATTTTTCCATTTCTAAATTGTATAAAACTTCCACCTTGCAAAGGATGGTGTTATTTGCAAATTTCTTCCTCATATGGCGTGATGGTGTTTGGAAGGGTTAAGTGCCTGTTCACACCGGAGCACAGGGTGGGAAATCTGCATTCCTTGTGCGTTTCCCGCAACGCATTCAAAACACATTGGGTGTGTGATCTGGTGCAAGTGCCAACATATTCTTAACACCCCCAAAGCAGATTTTAATTACAGTTCTTTTGCCTGCCTGGATCGCATGGGACCATGCAATCCAATAGCAGGACATTTTTAAAGTGTTTTAAACCCCAAACTAAAAATGAATTATTCTGCAGCTTACCCCATCCTGTTTCAGCCAGTGGCTGCTGCACTCCTGCAATGGAGGCACAATGAGAGTTGAAGGGTGATGTCCCGACTCTAGGAATTCAGACCATTACTGAGCCATTCACTATGAAAAATCTTTTGTGGACCGACAGGTGCAAAGAATCATTGCCATGTGGCTCGAAAAGATGACATGTCTAGGTCACTTTTGTCATTTGTTAGCACCATATAGCAGTGTTAAACCACATCTCTAATAAAACCACAGCTAAGTGTGAAAGTGTTATTATGATAACTCCCTCTATTAATAGTTAAAAACATTTCTCCTTTGCTAGACTTACCCATTTTCATTGACAAGATTGTAAAATTTGTAGAACTGCTTTGTAAATAAGCCATAAAATCTTCCATCACAAATCATTCTCATGGTGGTGAGGAGTATAGCATTAAAGTGTTACTAAACCCAGTACCCTGCATTCACTATATCTGGTCTCCCACAGTACACAGAACATGGAAGTGCAATTATTTTAGTAAATATAAACTGCTAAATACCTTTTATCATCAGCAGTTAGAGCAGTCTTGTCACTTCTATCAGTGTCGAGCCAAGCACTGGTTAAAGCTTGTAGGATGAGTTTTCATTCTGCTCTAGGAGGATGCAGGACACCTGACCTCTGTATGGACAGTGCTGGTTGGCCCTGTGCTGATTACATGCACTCTCCCAAGAAAAAAAAAAAAACACTCTCTAGCAATACCCACCAAACTGAGCATGTGTAGAGTGACTACACATGATATGTCTTATCAGGAGATTACAGGGGGGCACTGGAAGAAGGGGAGAATCAGAGAAGTCAGGATCGAACAGCGTGTTTACACAATGCAGAGGCTTAACCCCTTAGGTTCCACCATGAGTATACCAACCGTGCTTTACTGCATATACAGACTGATTTTACTGTTGTGGGTTTAGTAACACTTTAAGCTTTTCAGAATGCTATAAAGTTAACATAAAGACTTGCTTCAGATTGGCAGCAGTCTTCAGTCCTATGTAATACTGTGAATTCTATGACTTTATAAGCTATACTTGGTTATTTTAAATTAGCCTGGGTGATGTTTTTCTCCGCTTGCTACACTCTGCATATTGTAAAAATAATTATTGCAAAACATAAAGGAAACCCTGTAATGGCTATGGAAGTTAGGCAGGGCTGGGACATCAAGATTCAAAGCTGTTAGATAACTCCTATGGACCGTACCTCTACCTTTTTAAGAAACAATTTGGTTAAGGTCAAACCTTGTAAGCAGCTGTCTGGATAAAACTATACATTTGAAACACAAAAATATGTTGGTCCATAAAGTATGTCATTTCTAAACTGTTAATTATTGGAATGACAGGTACCTCCAGGAATATACAGTACACTTTAATCCTAATACGTGTTCTAGTCATTGGTGTATTTAGATTTTGTGCTGCCCTAGGCAATACAAAAATCGTCCGTCTCCACAGACACCGACCAACACCAATCCCCCCCGCCCCTCTTGTGGAGAAAGCCTGACATCGACCAACAACACCCCTGCCTGCCCCCCTCATGGGAGTGCCTTTCACTACCCCCCACCCCCTGGCCGTAGAGAGAAAGACACTCATTTGCATCTCTGCACATCACCGGGAATGAGAGTCATGCTCTACATACACCATTAAGCAGCCTGCAGCCTCTCTCAGCTCTGTAATACATTACAGTATGCGCTGAAAAGTATTTTTCAGAACATACTGTAGCTTACTTCCTAATATTCATACCACCAAATGCAACATAGGTACCACCCACATAAAGTGCATCACTTTCTTGATAATGCACATGGGTAATGTTGGTATGATCATAGAATTAGGTGATTTACTTGGCTGACTTTCTTTTTAAATGAACAATAAGTAATATTTTAGGGACAGCTAATGCATGACATTTGTCACACCTTAACCCCTTGGCGCTGGTGCCTCCTGGCCCTTTAAGGGTTCCAGCAGCCGGGAGGCGGGGTGGGATTTTAGAGTCATGTGACCACTGTGATTCGCTGTCACGGTGGTCACATGATCGGGAAAGGTCCCGATCGAAAGATGAGATCGGGACCTTTCCGTGAGCACCGAATGGAATGTGTGTGCTGGGAGTGCGCAGGGCGCGCGCTCTCAGCAGATATGTTTTTTTAATAGAGTGCAAATGTGCGGCCGCTCAGTGTCTAGACCCAGATGCCGGGAGTCTGCACATTTGCGTTCGGCCGGTGCCAAGAGGTTAAGGGCCGGTTCACACTAAAGAAACGCAGTCCAGATGCGTTCCGGATGCATTTTTGCATGCCTGTTTTTGATGCATTTTTTGCACGTTCCAGTGCTTTTTGACTCTTTCCAGCGTGTCTTTGATGCATTCCAGTTCATTTTTTCCCTTTTCGTTTTCTTCAATTTAAATAGGGACATGTGTTCCAGTGTGTTTTCAGTGTTCTGTGTGTTCCAGTGTGTTCAGGTGCATTTTTGATGCGTTTTACTGCATTCCAGTACAGTTCTGTGCAGAAAAAATGCAGCCTGTTCTACTTTTTTTTCTGCAACTGGAACGCACTGGAACTGCAAGCACTGATGTTAACTATGACACTGACACACATATAAGCTACTTTCTGTGCAGTTTGGATGCAGAAAAAAAGCAACTGAAACGCATGTAGTGTGAACTGGCCCTTAGGGTTAGTTCACACTAGATGCAGTTCAGTGCGCTTTTTTTTCTGCATCAAAAATGCATGCACAGTGTCTTCCATGTATTTCAATGGCCCTAGTTCACACCAGTGCAGTCAGTTCCAGTCAATTTCCAATGCAGAAAAAAAAGTAGAACATGCTGCATTTTTTCTGCACAAAACCATACTGGAACATCGCAAACTGCATCAAAACTGCACCTGAACTGTGTGCAGTGTGACCTGTAAGCAAAAACATTTTTGAGTAGGGGGCCCCATGAGATGCCCCTGGTACCTTTTTCATAGGTTTTTTTGAGTTTGGGCAAGGACACAGAGGCCCCATAATCCCGTATTGCCCGGGGGCCCCATGAGTTGTCAGTCCGCCCCTGGTGGGAAAGTACCATTGTGTAGAATCCCATCAGCTGTGTGGGTCTGAAAAAGGTGGGGGGTGAAGCACATATCTTGGCTGTTATTAAAGATCATCTTGAAAGATTTGGAGCATTTTTGTCGAGTTGGCCGCAATATGCCCTTGAGAGTTTTGGAGACTGATGGGAGCATATTGATAGAGGATGGAGTTTAACTTTCTAGCTAACATAGGCTAGTTTATTTGCAGGTTTATACATTTTTAGCTAATAGAAGATGCAATTTTGTTTTAGTTGAGGAGCACATTTGTGCTAGTAGGGTTTTTTAAATTTTTTTTTTTTTATTTAAGTCTAATTCAAGTTCAGGTTTAGATGATAAATCCTTGTTGTCCATGAGTTGTCAGTCCGCCCCGATCCGGAGTGTGTTTTTGTGGTGTGAACTGGCCCTTAGGGTTAGTTCAGACTAGATGCAGTTCAGTGCGCTTTTTTTTCTGCGCCAAAAATGCATTCACAGTGTTTTCCATGTATTCCAATGGCCATAGTTCACACCAGTGCAGTCAGTTCCAGTCAGTTGCCGATGCAGAAAAAAAAGTAGAACATGCTGCATTTTGTCTGCACAGAATCATACTGGAACATAGCAAACTGCATCAAAACTGCACCGGAACTGTGTGTGGTGAGAAGTGTAAGCAAAAACGTATCCGAAATGCATCCTGAGTGTGTTTTTGCGGTGTGAACTGGCCCTTAGGGCCAGTTCACACTATTTAACTAAAATGTACTGCATCACTAAAGTTGCTCAAAATAAACAATAAGTGCAACCAAGTACTGCTATTGATAGCGAGTGACAAAATAAATATTTGAACCAATATCAATTTTCAAAAGCAATACGCATATACATAAAAAAAAAACCAATATGCTAAAAGTAATGTCCATACACGTGTCAGAACTATATTAAATGAAAAAGTCTATAGAAATGCTTCTTCAAATGTGCCTAGTTTCTTTTTGAAATAAAATATCCCATGCTGCTTAATTGATTCTTGTGTAAAAAAATTCTCATTAAATTGTGCTGCCCCACCAGATGTGCTCTCAGATGTGCTGCTAAGTATATGACCAAACCGTTAAGTGAAGTCATATAACGCTTGTGTCCTTTTAAATGGGGCCAAAATGGATGGGATGGTATCCTGCTGTTTGGGGTCCTTCTCCAATCAAACGATAGGCTCCCCTTCCATGGAGGTTAATATAGAAGAATAATAGTGTATTATCCTTATAAAACTGTTTTATTAATAAAAGTAATGCACTCACATATCTACCCATTCAGTCGTATCCAACCCTTGGCGATTGCATGGACTGTCACTCGTAAGCGACTTTTTCCATGAATTCTCTTAGCAATTATTTACAGGGTAG